TTTAAATGAATATAAATAAATACATAGGTAGGCATGTACTACTTTAATAGATTTATCTCAAGAATAAACTAGTTTAAGAGGGTTAGTAAGTTCTAAAGTAGGATACTAATACCAAATAATAGATGCAAAATACACCATTTGAATATTGAGTTAGAAATTTCAATTGGCTTGAAATTAGATTATAATTAGAGAATTTAAATAGATAACCCTGTAGTTGGGTTATAGATATAGCAGATAGTGTAAAAAATTTTAGCCAGACTACTTAAATTAGGCACCAAAAATACATATGTAGCTTGATGTACTCTCATTGCAACTGAAATTAAACTTCTAATAAAACACTTCCCAGACCAAAGAGGTCACCTTAATACCAAAAAAAAAAAAAGAATTTATTTTAAAAATGAGGTTTAATATTTGTAATTAATAAATAAGTATATTAGTAATTTTTCAAAGAAGAGAAAAGTAAATTTTATTTTATTAATATCCGAGTTTAATATAATTGAATTTGCAAAACCATAAGCTATGACGATACCAGATGGTGTAAAATAGGTGGCTTATGGTTTTTATAACTTAAATGCATATGTTGTCTATATGCATAAAAAAAAAAATCCAATTAGACAGCACCGATTATTAGTTACATTAATATAGCATTTGTACAAATCCATAAAATTGAAAGTGCTTTTTTTAGTGTTAAAAGCCCAACCTATTATAGACTCTAACAAATATTTATCGATATATATAGTAACATTATTTCTAATGCAAGCATATTTTCAATATTATTGATTATATATAAAATGTTGAATCAATATTAATTTTGATACTATTATTAGGAAAATTACTTAATGGTAAAAAAATTTTTTTTTTTTCGACTCGCGCAACGACAAAGCGCGTTCTTTTACTTATTTCTCAACAATGTATTTCATGCTAATACTGTAACATATCACTAGCTGTTTTCCTTTCAATATTACTAGGATTAACAATTCTTGCAAAATCAGTTCCACCGTTCCACATCCAACAACCTTTCAACCCCATTAAATTTATACCTCAAACTACAAGAAAATATCCACGACAATTTTCTGATCTACATTTACATTCAAACTTTGATATATTCTCTTCTTGTATTTGAACGTCAACATCCATTCTACTACCATCGCTTGTATGTTTTGACTCGACTGCACCAACATAATCAAAAGTAAGTTCGTCTCCAAATTCAATATCTCTTTTTGCAAAAAAAGCGACATGATGAAGCCTTATATCACATGTGCCATTAAGCACCGGAAATACCACAAGATTTGGATCACATGAATGATTAAAAAAGTGTGAAATATTTCCATATTTACAAGCATCGATTGTGAAAAATGATGTTGCGGTGCTATCGTCATCGTAGAAATCAATATCAAATAAATAAGTTTTTCCTACTTCATCGTATTTATTTCCACGTAAATCAGCTTCCTGCGATGTTATAATTTCTCCAAGATAATAAGTAATAAACGAGTCCTTTGGGATACGTTGTAACGCGATGACTCCCCATCCTTTTTCCGCGAATCTTTTCAGTCCCAAGTTGACATTTCGCCGACGTTGCGTTACACGATTAGGGCATGATAAGTCACAGGAACATGCATCATTACATTCAATAATTGCATTCCCAGGTTCTAAATTCACGGCACCGGTTATACGGTTATAGTAAAGGCGACCTCCATTTTCTTTTTTTAAGCAGCTACAATGTTTTCCTTTGCATTTACCAAATTCACAGTCACATCCAACTATAGGACCTTGATATTGTTCAGGATGAGGAACGTCTTTTCCATATACATAATCATCAACATAAGTGAATTCTAGAGGAATTCCTTGATTATCGATATCGTTGAAAATTGGAATTGGTGGTTCATCATTATGAATAAAGGTTTGGTGCGAATGCTCGAATTCGATCATGTTCTTCGTTTTGGATTTTTTACGAATTGTACCCTTAATGAATTTATCGTAATAAAATATATTGTAATATTTGCCATTTGAGGTTATTGTTCTTATTAAATTTCAATATTTATTATTGAAAAATTTGGGGCAATAAATAGCAATATTAATGGAACTAACATTTTGCGGCTGCTGTCGAAGAATACACAAATCTTCTTCTATTAACCATTGTTCCAACGCTTTCTCAAGATTAAAAGTTTGTAGCAATCCAGGACAATTCAAATTCTGAGCAGGCTCCCTATTACATTACAATTAAAGTATATAAATATATTAGTGTAAGTGTTTTAGTCAAAAGGTCAAAAAAAAAGTATGTATAAAATAAACTTACCATGTATTATATGATTCATCAAAATTTTTCCATTTAAGAAAATAATATTCAATTCCCTAAAGATGTAAGTAATCCGGATTAAATGATGTCACTTTTTTAGTTCATGTAATACATGACAAATTAATGCATTACTGTATTAGAAAAAGATGAACTTTATAAAATATACTTAGAAAACAGAAACAGAGCAGAAACATGAAACTTTATAAAAAAAAGCTTAATAGATTTTTTGTTTTTATCAATTTGCCTTATATGTACATATTTCAAATCTAAATAAAAAACCATACTGTATACTGTATTATCATCTTTCAAAAGTACTTACGTTTTCCTCTTTCTTATCAATTACTTTTTCCACCTAAATTAAGAGTATCAAATATATATATATATATATTTTTTACAAAAAAAGAAAAAAAAAAGATAACATAAAATCAAAAAATTTTACTTCATATTCATAATCCATCGTGAAAATGTTAATACTTAAAGCGTAACACTTTTAAGAAATCAAAAAAAAGAAAGGCTTTAAGGGCAAAGGTTTTAAAAAATATATTTATTGATTTACCTATACTAAATCAAATCTAATTGATTTGAAAGGGATAAAAAATTTGTTAAACAATTAGCTTATATACTGTATATATATATATATATATGTTATAAAATTAAAAATTAAAAAACAATTGATATCATATATTTTAATTATTTATCAGTCAAGTGATGCAAACAAAATTTGTACAATCGCCTGTTTTTATACCGACATATTTTTTTGAGCTACCATTGAAAATAACAGTGGCTTACGCGGAGAATTGGTCACCTGACAATTTTTAAGACTTCTGATTGGCTAATATAATTCAATAATTTTCTAATAAATATATCAGACTAATGCTGGTGAAATAAAATAAGTGTGGTGAAATAGTTTCACCACTATTGGTGAAATTGGTGAAATTAATTTTTTCACCACCAAGACAATAATTTTCTATAATAGCTGCTAATCCCGGCCTAGTTTCGATGCATTCCAACTTGCTATTGGTCAGATCATAAACTTGAAAATTGGATCTGTATCTCTATCACATGCATGCCCCCAAAAAATGTCACTAATGAATTATCTGAATTATCAGTACTCGATACTGTTGAAACATTGCGAACACCCGAGAAATTTGTGTAATGGATAACACTTCTTCATCCGTTTTAAATCCCACTGTAGCACGGTCAACGGCTTCTGCTACGCCTCTAAGTCGTGGCATTCCTTCTACCTCAGTAAGTAGCAGTTTCACTACTGGCAGCTCTTTGACGGCTCTTCCACGTCGTCATTCAATCTATGGAACTGGTGAAGATAGGATCGTTCTAGATATAGGAAGCTTATATATAAAAGCCGGTTTTAGTGGTGAATCTAGGCCAAGACACATTGTTCCTGTATTTGCTGGTAATATGAAGACACACTGGGATCCAGATTTTAACGGAAGTGGAGGCGTTGTGAAAGCTTGTGGAGAAGGCTGTAGAATCATTGGTGAGGTAAGATACGTGTTTTTGAAAATATTGTAATTTCAAGTTTAACGATTTTCTTTGAATGATCTACAGTTTGCTGAATTATTCGACTTAGAAATCGGAAAGAATCCTGATGAATTGGATGCTTTATATGATCGCTTGGCACATTATTTAAGAGAAATTTATTTCAGGTATGTAAAGAATTCAAATTACGATTATTTACCATACTCTTTCACTAATTTCTTGACTTTATCATTATTCTTAAACCTATTTTCAAGGTACCTATTAACAGATCCTAAACAACGCAAAGTTGTATTATGCGAATCTCCTATGATGCCTTTAAAACTGAAGCAATTGATCGCAAAAGTATTGTTTGAAAATTTACAGGCATGTAACTTTTCTTTATATGATGAATATATCCTATATAGAGTTGCGGCTTAATACTATTTTATTATTTTTTTTATTATTTAATTGTAGGTGCCATCTATTTCTTTCGCTCCGTCACATATGTTAGCCTTGTTAACTACAGGCTGTACGACTGGTTTGGTAATAGACGTTGGGCATTTAGAAACAACTGTACTGCCAGTAAGTTTGATAAATTTGATCTATCTAAATTTTTTATATAAAATTAAAATTATTCATTTTGATTATAGACATTTTCTGCGCGGCCTTTGACACCCTTTATTCGTACAACTCCCTTAGCGGGCCGTGCATTAACACAACGGCTCAAGGAGTTGATTTCTACTTATGGTGATATGATTATTCCACCTGAGAATAAAGTAGAACCTGTTCGCGCTAAATACCTTACACCTGCTGTACTTGAAGATATAAAAACTCGGTTTATTTTTGTAAGTCCAATAACGGTTGAAGCAACAGTTGGAGTAGCTGAAAAAACGTTAATTGAAGATATGGAAAAGAAATATTCTACAGTTTGTTCTGCGACTGATGTGTCATATCCTATCACTATAAGCAAAAATGGTCGAGATCGACAAATGGGAACTTTAATTATACCTGGTTGGATTAGGGAGCGTTGTGCAGAAGTTCTTTTTGAAGGGGATGAAGATGAATCTAGTATAGTTGGATGTGCACTCGAGTGTTTGTTAAAGGTTTGTATTAAGTTTCGATAATTCCTAAGTAATTGCATACAATATGAAGATTTTACTAAGCAAGCAGTTTATTCATTAATAAATAACTAGACACCAATTCATCTCCGTCGCCCTCTTTTTTCCTCAATTCTTCTCATTGGTGGTACTACCTTACTTCCTAATTTTCAGCAGAGGTTTGCACAAGAAGTCCTTCGTGCTTTGAATAAGGATCGAAGGTTTAATTCTTTAAGTGGACTTGCAGATCATTTCGAATTTTTAGAAGACAATGGAAGTGGTAAAGTTTTTGTAGCCAATTGTCGAGCTTGGGTTGGTGGTAAAGTATTTCAAATTAATTTACATTTAAATGTCGCGCTTTTATTGATAATAAAAGCATTGCTCATCGAATTTTTACTATTTCAGGTTCTCTAATTGGATCACTCAAATCTACTGTTGTTGAAATCACTAGAGAGAAATATACAGGAGAAGTACCTGATTGGACGACACCAAATGTTCCATCAGCTACATCATAAATTTATATATTTAGTAACAAATTGCAAAGTGAATTGTTACTATATCTTAATAATTATCAATTGCAAATTTTAAGTTCTGAATTTATCAATATTTTGTCATCATAGATTTAGTTTACAAAACCCATTTAATTTTTGATTGCATATGTACTTAAATTAAACGATTAAATTTTCATGTACAAAAAATTTTAAATAATCAGTGGGTTTCACATAATATATAAATATCAATTTTATTGAAATACACTAATAATTTTGGTTATTTAAATATGTGGTATGATAAAATGGTTATTACGTTTTTTACCTATGTATCATACGATTGTTTACAAAGTACCAAAATAAATTCTAAAAGGTTAAAATATGTAACAAATCTTTTTATTATGGATTTCTTTTTTTTATGGATCTTTAAAAACCTATTAAGCAAAAAAAATATAATATTCAACCTGTATTTGATTAAGGATTCAACATCATATCAACATCCATTTCTGAACCTACATCCAAACTTGAATTACTGTCTCTTCGCTGTTTCTGGCGAGTTGTCGTTCGTTCAAAATCATCAGTATCTTCATGCTTTATCCGCATTTCTGAACCATACTCGTCTTTAGTATGATCATGTTGGCAATGATCAATTAAATATCTGCCTAAAAATTCGCACGGATCCGCCGGTCTTTGATAATACAAATATTTCAGTTAAAAAATAAATAAAATTCATAATAAAATATATTCTTAAGAGTTTATATGAAATCGAATTATGAAAATTTCCTACCTTTCTCTAACAATTTTTTTTAATCCTGCCATAAGACTAGGTACAACAGTTTTATTCAGATAATCTCGAACTGCTGTATTATTATGCGGATGACGCATATTTAATCTTTGTATTTTATCTCTTTCTTCATCAACGACTTCCCCAAATTGATCATCGAATTTTGGAGGTGATGGCTGGTCTTCTGTCGCCGACGGTTCCTCTCCAGTTATATCAACCTCAGGTTCTTCACGTTTAATAGGTGACTGACTATCAGCATTAAGTATATCCTTCATATAGAAAAATGATATAGTGGTTTAAATAGTAATCAAAAAAAAACATTAAACTAACTTGTGGAGCAAGATTTGTTGAATAAATATGAAAAATAGTTGAAAAACGTAACTAACCCGAATACTTCTTACCGCACCAATTCCATGTTGACCATTTTCATACTCGTTATTGCTCGTTTCTGCTGGTGAGGAATCTGTGTACATTGAATCGTCAGCGGAAGGTGCATACATATCATATCATTGACCGTTGCCGAAGGCTATAATTCCGATGAAAGGGTAACGTCTGTTTCTTGTTTTACTTCTATGTTATTCGAGTTATACATGAAATAAAAATTTATAATAAATTTGCTTGAAAAAAAAAATGAAATAAAGATCCGAGATTAAAAAAGTTTAATATACCTGTTTCGTACTTTATTTTAATAATGTCATAGATAAAATCAACCCGCCAAAAATTTAAAAGCTGCAAGATAACCTTTAAGGTACATGTGCATTTCAAATACTAAATTTAGAAGTTTGCCAGAAGTTTAATGTTATTCATTAAAAATTGATCGTCAATAGATTTCGGGCTGCATAATTAAAAAAGTTCGAGAAAATTTTACATGTTTTCTACACTTCGAAATTCGGTAAAGTCGTTATGCCTTTGCAAATATGGCGTATCACAGATTTCCTCAATTTTATCGCGTGATCAGTATAGTTGCATAATGTATAGGAAACCTTTTAGTTGTCTTATGAAATTTCCACTAAGTAATAGTTATTCTACTTCAACAGACGAGAAGACAAAAGAACAAACAGATTTTCAACAAACTAAAGATGCATCTAAATTGCACACAAGTATACTTTCTAAAGTGCAAGCTTCTACGTCTTTATCTCAATCCAAACCCGGTGCTCAAAAACCTCCATTACTTGATCGAATAAGCGAATTCATTAAAGCTGTAAAGGCTAATAGTGCACAGGATATACTTTCTGTAGCATCAGATAATTTAAATAAATTGACGGGATATTCCATGGTGGAGAACTTAAAAGAAAAGGTGATTCAGAGGGGTAATTTCTTATTCTATTGATTTAAAATGAATTCATTATTAATAAAACTGTCATTTATATTTATATATTTTTACATTTAACTCGTTGAATAGAAAAAGAATTTGAGGTAGCGCGAAAACGTCTTTCAGCCTCTAAACTTGCATACGAAGAAGTTATCGCTGCGCGATCTGCAACACAGCGTGAAATAAATGAATTGCTTCAACGTAAACATCAATGGTCAAGTGATGACGTTATAAAGTTTACACAGCTTTACAAAAATGAGCACTTAAACGAACAGGCTGAAACTGCAGCCAGAGAAGAATTTCAGAGATGTGAGCAAAAAGTTGAACAAGAATATACAGAATTAACTCGATCAATTATGTTACGATATCATGAAGAACAAATCTGGAGTGATAAGATACGTAGTGCATCTACATATGGTACGGTTGCTTTAATGTTACTTAATGTGATCTTATTTATCGGTGTTCAAACTATTTTTGAGCCAAGAAAACGGCAAAAGCTGGCTGATAAATTTGAAGAACTGCTTATTCAAAGGACAAATGAGGAAGAAAGTAAATCGGAAGTCGGAATTGTTCATACATTTATGAAAAAGTTTGAAAATCTAGAAGGAAAAGTGGACGAATTGACACAATCATTAACACCGATATTTAATAAACTTTCTGATTACGTTGGAGATCTTGAACCCTTTGAACCAATCAACGACAATGATAAATTACCCCTAACACCAACAGAGCTCGATTCTCTTATGGGAGACTTTGAAAAGTCCGCGGAAAGAAGTAACCGTGTTCAAAAACCTATTCAAAATGAAATCGACAGCCATATATTTATATCTGCTTTCTTAGGAGCATCCATAGGCTGGCTTGTCAGCTACATGATGACTGAATTATTCAGATAACAGTATTTAAAAGGATAGAAAAAAAAAACAATGTTTTCAAGATTTTATTAGTTTATAATAAATAATAACAAAATAGATTATATATTGTCTCATTTAATTATTCCAAAGATGATCCATGTCTTTCTCAGTCCAATTATCTAACCATTTGCGCATCTCATTATCTGTACTCTGTTCTTTTTTTTTAACCAAATGGTCCCTCACCATTTTTAACCGTTCTATCCCTGTCCTACGATGACTTTCATTTGTCTCTTCGCTTGAACATTTTGAATCCCGTTCATTGAAAATTTCATCCCTTGCCTCATCAACTAGTCTTTTAAAAAATGAAGGCATTCCATATACGTCATATGTGTATCTTGTTTGTGTTAAATATATCAAACTATCTGCTGTCTCCAAAAATTCATCCAATTTAAACTCAGATTTGTTGAAAGAGCCAGAAGAAATTTGTTTCTCATCCTCAAATATAGGATTGTATACTTCATCAGTATAAACAGATGAGTTTAAGAAGTCGATGACTTCGATACCATCTTGTTGATAGCTATTATGAAGAGAATCCTGATTATGAAAGTGATGATGAAAAGGATATTTATGTTTAGACATTTCAAAAAGATTATTGTGCTCAGAATACTCAGAAGAATTGGTCCACTTTTCCCATTCTTCAACGTTAAAATCTGTATTAAACGATTGACTTGCACTATGATTAGCAAACTTTTCAGGTGATTTGTCTTCGTATATTTGTCCTGTTACCCATTCTTCTTGTAAAAATGATGTGGCTGATGTTGAGGAAGTACTGGGCTTCTGATTTGTAATATTATTCACTAAGGTAGATAAGTTTGCAGTTGTACTTTTTCCATCCATTGGCAGAATTGCGTGAAGAAAATTTGTTGCAGAATTTGCAACGTTTGTCAGTAATTGTTTTTTACCATTAGGAAGCGGTTGTGAGGACGGTTTGGTATCATTAGGTGATGTAATTTGTTCTTTAGTACTTTCAGGCATATCGATATCGAAATTGAAATAAACTGTAACTGGTAAAGGTAAATTGAAGATCAAAATCTGATAATTTTATCTCTGGTTATAGGTAGTTGTTTAATTGGCTTAACGTTAAGTATCAGAACGTAACGTTTCACTAACAGCTGATTAGATTATTATATATATATGGTAAATTGTAACTTAAAATATTTTTATTAGTAAAAATCGTCACGCCATATAAAAAAATTTTTTTTGTACGTAATACGTGACGAAACGACAAACTTAAGCAGCCTATTTTTCACCTTTAAACCTCTGTTTTTAATGAGAGATACAATAAGATACGGAAGTTCAAGAAACTAGATGAGAAGTGAAAGGTCAGGAAGGTGGTTCGGCGATTTAAACAAATAGACTTGTTTACCTTACAAATAAAAAAAAAAAAAATACTATTTCGAATTGCTATTGTATTCTAAAACTTTTTATTGTATTTATTTATTTGTTACGAATATAGTTTATAATAGTGGTAGTGTTTAGGATTGTAATGTATCACGAAACTGAATTAAAGCATTTTTAGTGAAATAAATAATACAGATATATTACTTCGTTAAATTTAAATTAAAACAGTTATTATTAAACTGAATTAATGTACCATAAAAGCGTCTTTAGAGAGTATTAAAAGTTTATGAGCAATAAACTTTATCTGGATATAGCCGGTAATCTATCCGAGGTGCGCCATTTTTCCGGGGTATTTTAACAACCAATCAAAATGAACTTCCGCTAAGGAGGGCTGACAATAACTCTAAATTTTATTTAGGAAACCACCTTCTGCGGCCTAATTATAAATGTTCCTCGTGAAATTTTACCAATAGCTCCAACCCTAACCCTATGCTGTTCTCACCCTAACCTGCGGTTTTCTTTTTAGAAAACGAAGCACGTTTGTTTTTTACACCTGATCTTAAATTTTGATTGGCCAAAAATTACAGGGTGAATTTTCGCGATTGTTACACGAAAATTTTTTATAAAAACGTTCAAAGCGCGTAGAGTACGTATAAGTCCAGCGCTCAAACACAAATATTTCAACCAACCTTCTAAAGAATGGAACATTCGGGACTTTCTGGAGGAATGCGACCTGGAACCGTTTGAACAGAAAATCGACTGTTACGTTAAGAGTCTTCAAACAATTGCTAATAGCCAGGATGACTGAAGCAAAAAGGCACAACAGCTTCTTGATAATTTCAGGAAGAAGGCAAGTATAAGGATTTTGGAGCTTTTTATGTTAGAAATACAAAATTTTATATGATAAGGCGCTGTTGATCTAGCTTCTTCTATTATTGAGTAAGGGCGCAGGCGACCTGCTAGGTCGTTAGGATTACCTTCTAGGTTGTTCTATTCTGTGTTCAAGCTTCTAGCTTACCTAACATTGACCCTGCTGGGGTGTAGACGACCTCTAGGTCGCTAGGAAAAAAACCTTCTAGGTTGTTCTGTTCTGCGTCTAAAGGCTTCTAGCTGATCCGGCAGATATTATTCCCTATATCCTATATTAGGGCGATGGAAGTGATCGTCAAATTGCGAAAAATTGGAATAATGAAAGATCTCGCAATAAGATATATTTCCACCAACCAACAATTACTGGTGAAAATATCAACGGGATTATAAATATGAACATGCGTTTCTATATCCAAAAGAGATCATGAAGAGGTATACGGATTTTTTATCTAAAAGTTAAAACTCAGCAGAGTTAACTAGAGGTTGGAACCGGTTTTAAATATTCGAGTTTATCACATCAAAATTCGAGTTTATCACTCCAAAATTCGA